TCATTTTTTCTACTAACTCGACAGGTTCAGGGTCGTGGGAAATATAACAGAATCACAGTCCTCGATGTCGTATCCCCGGTAAAAAACAGAGATCCGAAAAACTGCTATATACAGTACGGAGTCATCCCAAAACTACACACAGTATCCTTACAATTTATAACCCTATTCGCTCCACTTCCTAATCCGAAACATTTCAGATATGTAAGTATAGTAATAATCTTGATTCTTAAAAGTATTATACCATCGATCGAAAAATCATAGATTACTGACATCACTGTGAATCACTCACACGCGATACGAAATGTCTGGTGGTATGTGCCTCTCTTAACCCTGCAGCAGATGTTTCTTTCACTGCGCAATTAAATGCTCGAGAACGAAACGTGTACATACACGTGTCATATCCTATCCCTGATTCCCACAACGTGCTTCATAAATATTTTCCGCACTTTCAACTGTTATTGAAGAAACGTGTCTCTACGAAAACACAAGTTTTCTATCCTCGCAAACAAACTCGTTTTCCGCCGGGGGAAAATGTGGTGTAAGAGAAAGGCCTCTTACCACTTGAGTTACTGAAATTTATGCGAAATTAACATTTGGTTTAACATTTATTTCAGTATTTGAAATAAGCGGTACGAGGACCTAACCCCTTTTTGTCCTAGAGGAAGCCAAGTTTGCTCATTGGTATACGTAAAGTATTTTTGCATAACCCCATCCGTTACACAGATATACCGTATGTATGTAGTTTCCTTGGTGTTGCGCTGCGCGACATCTGGTTCCGCGTTGCTTTAGCTTCGCACGTTTCGTCTGAAACGGATAGAGAGGAAAGCGCGTATCGTACACCAGGTGGACAAACAGAGAACGTGTATATTCCTCTGTATGCTTTCTGCTGTCTCTGCTGTTATGTGCAGGGTTCTTTTCGTCTGGATTCATCGTGTCTTCCTTCTTATTCATTGACGAGAGGTAGAAAGCGCGCGCTCGCGCACCGTCTGCACCAGCCGTGAAAAATAGGATGACAAGAAAATCGGAAATACCGAGGATGCGTCGGCGACGGGTAGCAATGACCTTGGGCCGTGTATTGACTCGGACGTGTTCCCTATCTCCTTTGTTCTCCGACAATTCGTCGGGAAAGTTCTTTCTGCAGATTCGTAGCCCCCGCGGCCGACGAACCCCGCGCCATGATTTTACACGGTTCTTGGACTATAGAGACGTGGTTGTGTGCGTGCTTCAAGGTTGGACGATGTCTGGGAAATTTTTTAATTCATACGTAAGTACGTATGCCGAGACTGTTTCGTGTCAGATAGTCATAGCCAGATACTATTCTACATGCTAAAATATATGTATAGGCTGTTCCGCTTAAAACAGGCCACCCAAGTTTATTCCCCATCTGGGATCATACGAAAAATATTCTTTACGTAATTTAAATCGTTTCTAGAGACGAATCAGAAAGGTAGAAAAAATTATATAAGGGAATTAAACATTTTTAGAGTAAATTTTTTGTAAGTAAATTAAAAATTTTGAGAGTGCAATGTCATTTCAAGATTATATGTAAAAAACATGGATGACCTTGCAAAAACCATTAAAAAGGACACTTACAATAAATGTTTACCGCCATCCGATTTGTCTACTGAAACCATTAAAATTACGCAAAAATATATTTCTCGTATGATCGCAGATAGAGAAGATATTTAGGTGGCCTGTTTTAAGCGGAACACCCTATATATATATATGTATATATAAAACAAAGTAGTTTCAGAGATAACTGTATATGTGCTTCGATGTCTTTTTTTATAATTGATTGTTCCTACTTGCGATAAATATTGATGACAGTCACGACCGTTTCCCATCGATTCGTATCAGATGATACCGTATCACTGTCAATCGTCATAAAAGTTAATGCAAGTAGATATATCGTGTGGGTAATAGACACTACAGAGTCAGGAAGAAACATTTATTCCGTATTGCAGTCTCATTATCTACGCACAGTACGTCGTATTCCATATGCATTACCCCGTCTTAAAATACCTATACGTATTCTTTTACGATCGTGTCTGCAACGCATCGAATCGGATATTTTTAATTTTATAGGCACTCGATGGAAAGGTTAAATTATAGTAATTTGCAAATGATAGCCTGTATCGATTGTATTCGTTTCGAGTATACGTATATATGTATGTACATGTCACAGTTTCCAATCGACCTGCCTGTCTCGACATCTGTCACCGCCACATGGTTCGATTAAACCGTTGTTCCTTTAACAAAATTAGAACTTAACTCCCCCACAATCCGCGTAGCTTAAACGAGTCCCGTGGGATTACGCCTTGGAGAAAAAAAAAAGAACAGTACTGAAACAATAGCTTCGTGTACAGCATTTCCGTGTTTCTCGTTTATAGGCTTTTAGAATGACTCGCGCGTGTTAGAAATAATACAACAGGAAACGGGTAGCCGTGACGGTTGTGTCACTCCGAGTGCTAATTCCGTGTTGCCATAAGCCTGGAAAGTAAAGTAGTAAGTACCGTTATATCGCAAGGCCGCCACCAGGCGAATCATTGTTTCGATTGATCCAAGTTAGAAGGAAAAAGAACGAGAGAAGGGCGTGACGAGACATAGTGGGGGGAGGTTTGGGGCAAAGAAAAACAACGGGGCTCGAACGAACACACACGCGAAAAGAGCGCGCTGGGAAAGGAACGAACTAAGAAAACGGGGTTAGAGCCGCGCAAAAAAATGTCTGGCGACTAAACCCAAACAAGAGGAGGAAGGTTGTCGTTCTTTTTCTTCCGTCTTGAAGCGAAATTCGTTTTCGTTTATACACCTTCGGCGTGTGCATCCAAACAAAGAGCTTGCCTGCCCCCTTTGTTTATGTACAGACGGCCGTCGTCACGTGACTCGGATATGCGAGTACACACGTTTGACACGAGACGATTACAATTATATAAACCTTCTCTTCTTCATTCATATTAATGAATGATACACTTGACGTGACTGTGTCCTTGAAGCGACTCGCTAGACCTTTATACGTTTCTTTTCTCTGTATTGTAATTCATGAGCCAAAGGTGGTGTAATATCCCCCTGTCACACTGGCCGAAAACATTTAGTAATAATTGAGGTTAATAATGGTAGATGGAGGGGATGTACAGGATGTCCCGTTTTCACACTATTAGGAATCTCGTGTCCGCAAGGGACAACTTTCTGTGCTGCTCGATCTTACACGTCATGCAGGGTCGAAACGACGGTGGGCAACTGTGCTTGCTTGTGAACAGTCGAAAGAGGATGGCAGGGGGGAAGGGAAAACGGGATGAAGGCGTGAAAGGATGGAGAGACAGGCCCGCGGTACCGCCGCGCACTTCCTCTGTCTTTATAAAGAAGAAGCTTCTGTGTAGCCGCCGCATCATAATGGAGACCTTGCCTCTTTTCTTTGTTTGAACACGGGCCAGCACGTGGCGTCGCTCGATACGGACAGAGAGAGAGAGAGAGAGAAAGAGAGAGCGAATGTGTGTGCATCAATGCTATTGCGCTTCAAAACGTTCAGCCTGGTTCCTCTTGTTCGCTGTCGTCGTTTATTTTTATAGATGTATCCCCCCTGTATTTGTACGTGTTATCTGCTCTTTCTCTCCCGCGTGTCCACTCCCCCATCGGCCGAGCGGCTGCGGGGCTCAAGATTTTTCCCTTCTGAATGCAATATTGTGAGCGGGTGGTTTGAAGCTCCTCGGGCCGCCACCGCCGCGTCGTTATTTAACAGGTCGTTATAAATAACTCAGAACTGATAGTTACGGAATAAATATACACGATAGCGGGGTAAATAGCGAGTGCCGCCGCGTGGTGAGGCCGGATTACAAACCTCCTCCTCCTCCCGACGGCGACAGCCAATATTCTCGTATATAGTATATGTCCACGGATGGCCAAACTGTGGCTCGCGAGCTGCACACGGCTCTTTTAGACCCTTACTGCGGCTCCCACATAATATTTAATATTTTTTTATAAACTCGATACATACTACATACACGTATGTAATATGATATTTTTGTAAGTTTGCTCACTTTATTATGCAATGTGATGTAAACACAGATTGTAAGTGTAACTCAGAATTTAATACCGTTTCAATAGGGAAGAGGCTCTCGAGTATTTTTAACCTCTTCAGGGATAAGTTATCAATACTCCTTATCAGCTGGATCTACTTAAAATATATTTATAAATATTAATGACAATCAGTTGGTAGGTTATCCTTTTTTTGTTACGGAATTTTGGAGTGTTTATTCACGATAATATTCATTTTATCTTTGAAATCATGCTTGAATGAGAGAAAAACTAAATGTACACATATGTCCCAGTATCCCTCGATATGGCTCCTATCCTGACAAGGTTTGCCCACCACTGATATAGTATATACACATGTGATCGTTCAATTTTTAGGAGTAGGATGGAGACACTAGTGGTGTTTTTCATAAAAAAAAACTCATTCAAACGACTGTGTTCCGAGTCGTGCTCGAGAACGTCATAATATTTTGAAGATCCCCAGAATTGACCCCTGTTTGATGTACATCATGTACGGCTTCGTTTATCTCAGCAAGTTTCTTCGCTTATAAAAACAGTGACAGAAGTAACAATCACTGAATTTTGTACCCTTGACAGGTGAGAGGTTAGGATAAACGGAGTCGCGAACCGGTTACAACTCTCTTTGGTATATTTACACCATTCTCTCTCCGTGCCCGCGTTTCAAGAAGCTACGCAGACCTCTCCGCCTCTGTCGTTCCAACAAACTCTCCTCTCCTCTTGACGTCATCTCCGTCAGAAGGTCCCCGCGATCAGATTGAGCGCTAGTTGGATCGTTAGGTCGTTCGACGGTTTTGTGTCCGTGGGCGTGCTAAGTAGGCACACTGTGGATTAGGTTGCGCGAGGCTAGGCAAAAGAAGCTAAGGCGATACAGAGAGTGTGTATGTATGTGTGCGAGAGAGAGACCATATAACCCCGTCGGGATGAAATCGAAATCGTGTTTTTGTTCACAGGTGTCCCCGAACCGGCGCTGTCTGAACCAGCTCAACAGCTGATCGGAGCACGAAGCGGCGGTGAACGGGGCCACTATTGCACCACCACCCCGCGATTGGAAGTAATTCAATTCGATAATCGTCGCTGGTTAACGGCCAGACGTTCACCACACACCGGAGAAAACCAGCAGCAGCGTCTCGACGACACTTGATAAGAATAATATACGGGGAGAGGGAGAGCAGCGACATCGTGAGGGTAGGAGGAGAAGAGCGAGGACGACGACGACGACGACGACTACGACAAAGAAGAAGAAGAAGAGGAAGAAGACGGACATACACATATACACACTGGGGTGAGAGAGAGAGAAAGAGAGAGGTGGATCTCTTTGCTTGCTCGGATACGCCATCATGGTCAAAACTTTTCAAGCGTACCTGCCCTCGTGTCACCGCACTTACTCGTGCATTCACTGCCGTGCTCACCTCGCCAACCACGACGAACTCATCTCTAAGGTGAGCCGTGATAGATCAGGTAACTGACAGACTTCTCGCATTCACTACTAATCCTTCCGCCTCGTATGTCGTGCGCGCGAGCACACACGCCTGTCCACACATACATACACGCACACACCTACACACAGTGTGTGTTCTCCTCTTCACACTGCTCTGTAACGCAACCGCTAAGAAGCTGTTTCCTTTTTGATTGCAGTCCTTCCAGGGCAGTCAAGGTCGTGCCTATCTCTTTAATTCAGTGTAAGTATGCTAATGCCTCTGCCCTCGCGAATCCCAGATAGAATCGGCGTGGAAAGTAGGACGCGTTGCACTCTTTACCCGAAGAACTTATATAGTGGGTACGAATTATTCAAATGCAAGGTCAACGGATTCTTTCCCGTATCTTTTTTCTTCAATTGTTATTAACATCTACACCCAGAGAAAGAAACGTGTGTAGCTTTCCACCCCATTCACGAAAATATGTGTACCGATTATTCCTGACATTTCGTTTTGTTTTGTTGTTTTTACACGCTATATTATTTTATTTAACTATTTTAGGGTGAACGTGGGCTGTGGTCCTGCGGAGGAGCGGGTTTTGCTTACCGGTCTTCATGCTGTGGCTGATATTTACTGCGAATGCTGCAAGACCACCCTTGGGTGGAAATACGTGAGTCGTTTTGTTTTTGTGCTGTTCCGTCGATAAAAGAAACGTAGTTCAATACGAAATACCACTTCAGGGCAAGCAAGACCAGCTGTTTCTGTTAAGGGTCTCACCCCTGAAATTTTGCAGGAGCATGCGTTCGAGTCGAGCCAGAAGTATAAGGAGGGCAAGTTTATAATCGAGCTTGCACACATGATCAAGGAGAATGGATGGGAGTAAAGTCGCGTAGGGGGAACAAGGACAGAAAATAGTATAATACATCCCTGAACCGTGCGCGCGACACACCTATCCGTTGTGTGTCCCCGATGATGACCCTAAGAAGACGATATATAATACGCCTACAATGTTGTTCTACTTGCAATGTACGGCCCCCCCTACCCCCCTCTGTCAAACCACCAACGAAAGTCTGTGATTTCATTTGTGATTCGTAATCTTAGTAACTTTTTATGTTTCGGACAATTCGACGAAGACGACGACGCTGTTTTTCGTTCTTTCTGATCGATTCGTCGACAAGCGACGACAACAATCGATGACTAAAAAAAAAAAAAAAAAAAAAAAAAATAAATATAAAGAAGAGAAAAAGAAACCGTAGAGAAAGAAGATAAACCGAGAAAGAAAACAAAACAAAGATAGAGTTAATTAAAACCCCGAGAATAATGACATTATTAAGAAACGATGGTGACGAATATGATGATGACGACGATGAAGAAGAAGGTGCCATGGTGGAAAGTATAAACACCCGAGATCGCTTTGTTCGAACAGTGGGGTGCCCCACTTAATTTTTTCAATTCATTCATTCGCTCGAGACGTTTCCCTCTATGTGGAAACGTCCATGATAAATGGTAAAAAAAATTAACGCGCGGGGCACCCCGATCGAGATCAGTTTTCAACAAATCCCGTTATTGCACCAGAGAGAGAGAGAGAGAGAGAGAGCAGCGCAAGTGCCCACAGACTTTGCTGGACTGGACTGCCTGCCTGCCGCGTCTATCATTGGAATTTCACTGCCGATATTCCTAATATTAATTAAGACTGCTGCGCCGTGTTGTAGATGGCGTCGCAGCGGTGTGGTAGAGATCTTAGTATAGCTTACGATATAGCGTACTAAAAGCCTATGTTACTATATTATAGGACCTCATGGACATAGAATATAAGGATACGTGTAAGAGTATAAAATTATACGCTGAGAGGAGAGAGCAAAAAGAATGCGTGGAGAGCAAGAGATATAGAATATGAGTGAAAGGGGGGAGAGAGAGAGTGAATGAGAGAAAATGATAGGAAAGAAAGGGAAAAAGTTACTTGTGTCGGCGTGTATATGTTTGATTTTATGTTCACCATGCCTGCCAAACTGTCTGTTTATCTGCCAGTCGCCATTACTGTTAGTGAAAGAAAAAACAAAACGTATTCTAACATGTTCACGGTCTCGTCGGCTCTCGCAGGGTGTGGTATGACTGAATAATACTTTTGTTGTGAAACCATCATTTGGACTGCGCCTTCCTATGCACGCACCCACGATGTATTAAAAGAAACCACGGGAAAAAAAAGATGGAACAAGATAATTGCTCATTACTTTTTAATGATCGATCTCATTTGTAAATATTAAATAGAGTTCAGTGTGACATCACGAATCACTACTATTTCACGAGAGGTGGAACTGCGTGCGTTCCCTCTCTAGAAGCCCGAATGTACACGATTGATTTTTTCATCAATCATTAAAAGAAACAAAAAGAATTTATCATCGATATTGACCTATCATTTTTTTTTTCTTCACGTTAGACCAGTGTGTGTGTGTGACAACACAGCGGAATTTATATAATTAATTTTTCATTAGAGTATTATTGTTGTCTCGGAGATTGCGCGAATTGGACAGGTTTACTGATGTTTAGGTGGCTTCTTGTGCTACTTTTGTCACTTACCTATAAAGAAATGGTAATCGAACAGTTGAAACGCGTAATGATTACATTTGGAGTCGTAATCATCTACAAACATTTATCCTTTGGAGTATATATTTTGTATTGTAAGACAAAAGTATTCAATCTATTTCGTACAACGTTTAGACGAAGGTAGCAATAATTGCAGTCGCGAAGAAACAAAGAAAAAGAAAAAAGTTTATTTTTATTTCGATGACCGGAACCAACCGATCAAAAGTATAATTGTGAAAGAAGCGTACAAAAGTGATCAGCTCTTATATTGCGGTAGACTTCTCAGAAAAGCATAGATTGAGTAATGGACATTTGAAACATCCAGGTGGAGTTAAAACATTGAAGCGGAAAATACGAATCGTATGTTCATTGTTTTAAATGCATACATATGAAAGTGCAGTGTAATTTGAGTGTATCTAGAACAAGTGGTGAATGAATGTGCCGGCCTAATCCTTCATGCTGTTTCTTGGAGAGTACTTTTTATATTACCGCGCCGATGCCCCTTTATCCGCACTCACTTTTCTGGCATTCTTATTAAATTGTGGCCCACCAACACACTGATTCTGTAGTTTCCAGCCTCCACCGACATCCATTACCACCATTACACAATTTTGCTTTGTAAAACATGTTCATAATAAAAAAAAAACAAAGAAGAAATACAAAGTATTTAATCGAAACTGACTTCTTTCGCTTTAAAGTTGCTTGTCTAATTGAGTCTAGTAATGATACATTAATTTAAGAATTAGTAAATCAAAACAGATCCAGGCAACATCATTCGAAGATTAATATTTTATAATTTATAATACGCGATGATTAATAATAAATGTAGTCAAAAAGGTTCGTGATGCCATCTACCACAAAACGTCCAAGGTACTAGCAAACTAGTACCATATTCCTGTCGCGAGATTGACTACAAGTCGCTTCGCGATGGATGCGTAACGTCGACGTTACTCCGCGATCTTTTGTGGTTCCTTGTTGGTTTCCTCGTTTTTGTTTACATTTTAGTTTGTTTAAAAAATGTTATAGACTTCTGTTCGATCCGTTGGAATTGTCTAGTGTTGGACGTGTGCGGTTTCTACATCGAAAATGAAAAACGCAAAAGTCAAAGCCAGGTAATGCATCCGGTGCATTAGAATAGTTTGGATTCGATTGTACTTGTTGCTTCTGCTACACGAAAAAGATTTCTCTATTGAATTATTCCTTTGTAACATCATACGTACCTACTTTACTTTTCTTTTTGAGATACGATTGATTTTCTTCCTTCACACACGTGACATTCCAACAACTTCTCCCTTATTATATTAAGGATAACAAAGTTATATTTAACCCAGGAGAGTATTGATTTTTCTCCCCAACCGCTCATGCACAATGGAAGCCGCGAATTTGTTTCATTCACGTAGGATCAAACGTACTCCGATTTGATTTTGAATCATGTTATGTAAGTCGTGTGCTGCGTAAATTGGTGGATCCATAACAGAAACGATTTATGTCGAAACATTTTAATTTCCCAGACAAATAAAAACTTTCCAATTTTATTAAAATTCGATTAATCAAACTTTTTAATCAGATTCTCTAATATCGTACGATACTAAGCAGAATTCTGTTTTTTTTTTAGACAATGTGTGGAGCGTTTTGGAGATCAAGGGGGATACTTCGATGTTGTGGTACGTCCAATGTTGCAACAGGGACATGAGGGAGAATTGTGTGGATGGTTGAAAGAAATGAGTTTGATTAGAACCGTCTCCAATTGCCCTCATCCAGAATGTAAAGGAAGGAGTTTGGCTTGGAACCAAGCAAGAATTGTAGACAAGTACAGTTGGTCCTGCCCCAATTGTGCCAGGAAACAATCTATAAGAGAGAATTCTTTTTTCTTTGGTATCAAATGTGACCTGAAAATGTGCCTTCAGCTGATATTAGGATGGTGTCAAATGATACCTAGTGAACTTACTGCCAATTACTTAGGTATATATAGATTTGCATAAAATTTTGTAGTTATCTGTGGTAATATATTCGAAGGTGATTATACATGTGCTGATTCTCTTCTAGAAGTAAAGAAACATGTAGTTAAGAAAGTATACGAGAGGTGTGATGAGGTCTCTGAAAATTATGTAGCAACTCATCCCCAAGATTGGGTTCTTGGTGGTCAAAGTGCAATACTAATTGTGGACGAATTTCCTAACGGTTATATGACACAGAATCCTTCTGATGTAACCACTGCTAAGAAACGCAATAACAATTCCCATACAATTGTCTGCATTGCAGAGGCAAACACTGTGCCAACTCGTATGTGGTTACACATGATTGAAGCAGTTCCAGAGGTATTACATAGATCGTATGTAGATATCACTTCAATTTAATTCCTCTTGTTTTTACTACCTCTCTGTTGCAGCCGATTAAAATGGAGAAGTCCCAAGGAGAAGTTGATAAATGCAATATGGTCAAGGAAGCTCTTAAGGAAATTACAAAACACAGTGCTCCAGGTAGTTATATTGTGGCAAATAATCGAGCTCGGTGCTGCAGCTACGAATTGTTGCGAGAACTGAAGGAATACAAGGTGATTAGTGTAGAACATCTGCAAAAATTTGATCCACCTGGTAAAAATAAACTTTTCAGCAACTTAGGTATGTATAATACACATTCTTTTAGGAACACTGCGATTCTTATGTATAACGTGCGTTCTTATTTATAAAATTATTTATATCCTTAGAAACAATCTGGCAAACCAGTGTTGAAATTTGTGAAGAAATTCAAGAAACTACTCACAATCTGGGACAACGTATAATCGCCAAACATTTGTGGAGGCAGAGATTTGGTACGTCTCCTTCCATGGCATTTCAGTATATGCTTAATCACATTGCAGAATGTTACCGTTTTGTCTGAATTAATTTAATTCAGTGTTACTATTGACCTTAGTTTACTTTCTCAAGTACTACAAGCAATATCAATTGTTAGTGAATGACTTATTTTTTTTGATAAAAATTACATTGAAAGTTGAACTAATGTTTAGTAGTGGAGAATGATAATTGTCATTTAAATTGGCAATTTCATTGTATCATAATTGCACAAGTTGCACAAACGGCCTTATTGAAATTAAAACTAGATATAATACGTATAAAAGATATGTATATATATTATAAAAATATCTTCGTGAAAAGGGGAGTACAATGTTTAACTAAAACACGCACTCTGTGTCTTCCAAATATCAAAATATAAATAATTTTCAAGTTAAATGTTTATGACAATTGTTGACTAGTTAGAACTATATCATTATGTGGGTTTTGAATCTGTTAAAGCGCATTTGAAGGGTATTGTTCGCTTAAGATTTTTCACTTTTTCTATAAACTTAGTTTGACATTAGTTGCTAAAAGACTGATGATGATATTGATATAACACAAAATTATTTAAAAATCAGCGGAAGTTCGAACATTCGATTGAAATATGTTATTGATGTAGCTGTTGCCAATACTCATAAAAACATTTTATGGGATGCATTACAAAGAAGTATCATGTCATTCATTTGTCATCTTGCAAAAAATTAATTAAGTGAAAGTGAAATTTATAATATCAGGTGCAATTAGTACCACGATTTAGATTAGAATTAAATTAGGAGACTGTGGGCAATTCAGTTTATATGATTCATACTTACAATGTTTGTAATACTTAATGATCCAGAGTTTTATCCAAAGTTTTATACCAGTATTATTTTAAATAATTTACTGCAAATCGACTATAATGTAAGTTAACTATTGTCGGTTTTTCCACTTTTAATTCACTGAAATACCTTGTGATAAACCGACTTTGTGATATGCAAATATAATTTTCGTTTGTTTCTCGGATTACATCTGTAAAATGGATATAATATCAAGGTTGTAGAATTTTTTAGAAAATTTTGCGAACTGTGTGATACTGACGTTACTTTTTATAGTAAAAAAAATGATCTATTGCAAGTTAGAAAGATAAAAAAATATTCTTTATAACGTAAGTTAAGTGAAATTTGCGCCAAGTGTACTATGTACTAGTACTTTCTAAATAATTAATAATTTCATTTTATAAACCTGTATAGTGATATTCAATGAAATCATTCATAAGGAATTTTTAATATTTTTATAACGATTCATCCTATAGCAATATTGTTGTAAGTTTGTACAAGTACTATTAAATAACTATGGCAAGAAATATGCAATAAGAAACGTAACGCGTGTTTTGTACCAAAAGATTTGTAATGAAAAAATTGTAAAACATGTAAAATTCAAATTAATACTTAAATACCAAATAAAGCAATAGAATTTTACACGTCGTGTTTAATGTGTGAGGATAAGAAACATAGCTAATTAATTCCACATATATTTTTTTTTATTATAAACAAGGATTAAAAGAGAAAATTTGTAGCAAAAATATATTTCCACGATCGACCGTATACATAAAATATATTTTAATGTATAAAAAAAAGCAGTATAATCGGTGTTCCTTGTATTGATATACTCGTCGTGAGATTCTTCATTGTACTTGAAGATACAATAACACTGGTGGTGGTAACTACAAAAAGTTGTTCATAATTTCTCTGTAATTTTCTTGATCCTGCACCATTTTTCGAAAGACTCGATATTTCTGGAGATGATACCTTGAGTAAGAAAAGGTAACACAGTCACTTAAAATTTTTTTAATAACTGAAGTACATTTTAATAAGAATAATAACTTACTTGTAACATTCATTTCGTGGTTTAACGATATTTGCAGATCCTCCCATTGTGTTGATTGCATCATGTATAGTATTAAACTTTCCTGCTGCATAAGATCCAAGAATCGCTGCACCTATCAACACTGATTCCTTCTCAATGGGACAGAGTACAGGTAAACCTAAAACATCCGCCTGTATCTGAATGAACAATGGATTCTGGCTTAAACCTCCACAGACTAGTAAGTCCTCTACATTGTGACCAGCAGCTTCTAATGTTTCTAAAATGTACTTCGTACCATACTGTTGGAAAAATTTCAAATGCTTTTTATGCTATTAGCTGTAATATTTGTAATACATAGTGCTGTAACCGTATCATACCGTCAATGCTTGTACTGTTGCCAAGTAAAGTAATGCCAGATTCTCTTCATCAACGGACAGAGACAGCCCTGACACCTGTATAATACTTAACAATGAAAATTTACGCAAAGACTGATTCTTCAATTATGTAAAAAAGTGTTTTTACCATTCCTTTGAGGGTTGGATCAGCCAGTGGCGAGCGATTCCCATGGTAATCAGGCCAAACGTGAATCTCTTTTGTTAAGTATGAAACATTTTTTAAACCTTTCTGATCTGCCATTGTTTGCAATAGTTCGGATAAGTATTGCTGTATGTGCCTAGAGAACAGTACAATAAAGGTAAAAGAATCTGTCGAGGTACACAGATTTCTTTGAGGTATAAATAAACTTACCTATTTCCACTTAAGCTTTTTAAAATCCCTGGTGTTGCAGGATGAGTGTCAATTATGTGATCTAATAACTTTCCGGTCGCGCTTTGTCCACCTTCGTTTAACCATAATCCTGGAATCATGGCACTGTAATATGGTCCCCAGACGCCATTGACAAAAAGCTTCCTCTCGTTAACTATCATGTGGCAAGTTGACGTGCCACAAATTAATGCTGCAAATTAAACAGAATATTGCAAGAACGTTGCAAGAGTAACGAGCAAAAAGTGTATATTAGAAATAGACTTCACCTAATCTCCTCTGTAAATTGGGACTTACGCCAGGCACGGAGCAACCTATCATACCAAGTCCCCCGGCATGCGCATCGATAAGAGATGTACCCACGGCAGTTCCCTTTAGAAGTCCTAAATCGGATGCAGCTTTAGCTGACAATCCTTGGTCAACGGGATCCCCGGGGGTCCTCACATCATTACCTTTGTATTAATAGTTCTCTTTGTTAAAATAAAGTATTAGTTTCATATTATCTGTTTGAACATAAAATATATTCGTTAACTCATCAAAAGCTACCCTCGCAGAAGTGACATTTTTTTTAGTTTATTTGTTAATTATTTAGATACGAACTGATGCCTGTGGAATTAACTTCTACCAATTTGAAAAATTGTTATCAATACCTATTTTCCTCCAATTATCTCTCTTAAGATCTCTCAACTGAATTTGATCGAAAAATTCTTCATTCCATCCATTGTCACCATCTGGACCAGCATTATAATTCCACTTGCATACTAAAGAGCATAAAGACCTGAAATCACATTACCAAGTTATATTATCTTTCTTAACTTTTTTTGCTGATATGATAAGATTACCTTGATTCAGAACCAGTTGCTTTCCATGTTAGGAAATCAGGCAGGTCAAACAGCAATGCTGCACGGTTCCAGGATGAAGGTAGATTTTTCTTTAGCCATAACATTTTAGGGGTCTCCATTTCCAAGGACACTTTCCCGCCAACATACTGAAGCATTTCATGGCCTTGAGCATTTATGAAATCTGCTTCCTCCTGTGCTCTGTGATCCATCCATAATATAACATTCTGTTTGTCTTCCCCTGTACAAAGAATTACAATGATAGAAGCCTGTTTTGCTCGAGTAGGATCACAGTTATAGTTGGTTTTTCTATATACCTGTTGGACTAACTGTGACTGGTGATCCTGTCTTATCTATTGCCACTAATGAACAAGTAGCATCAAATCCAATGCCCTTCACATTATCTGCAGAGACATCAGCCACCACAGACTATAAATGAAACACAAAATATTACACTCTTATAACAAGTGTTATAATTTATAAAATGTCTTTCACAGTACCTTCACCACGTGTATGACTGCACTCCAAATATTGTCAGACGATTGTTCATAAAAATTAGGAGCAGGATGAAAAATTTCAAGTGGACATGTTGCCAACTTTACTATCTTCCCTTTTGGGGATACCAGAGCAGCCCGGGCACTTCCTGTTCCAACATCCACACCCACAAAGTAGTCCATACTCTATTCTGTTGAAGCAATCTCCTGAATGTTGGTATGTCTTTCGTCAACAGAGGCTAACTGAATGTTCTATTCAGAACAGAATCATTATAAGCTGTAAATTAGGAGTACAGAGTCGTTATCAACAGAGCTTTACTGTAATCACAGAGTTACTTTTTAATATCACATGACCCTGAGATAACACTGGTAGGATTAAGAAATATTCAATGGCCAGTAACACAAGGAAGAATCTATTTCCACTAAAAATATTCTTTATTGCACTCACAGAGGAAGATATAATGTTATAGAGAAAGTAAATAATTAAAGAGAGAACCTTTCTGTGCTAATAATTATTGAAGCTTCTAAACGAGTATTAAATATGACGCGGTATAACAATATCGAATCAATAGGATTAATGCTTAAGCAAAGTAACGTATGTACAACAATATTACGTAAGACCGATGACACGTATCTCCGTACAAGGAACAGGTGTACACAAAAAATTCTGTGTCCGTTACCTTGAATAATTCGCTATGTTGTTCCATAGTACGGAACGTCACTTTCTAAACGTTCTATATAAAATTGCATTGAATTTTTCACTAAATTTCTAAGAAGAGAACATTCGTGGAAATAAAACCTTAACAATACATTATGTATGTAAATTCGGAAACCCGATCGTTGGAAAATAGTGTTGGAAGTATATTCCATGTTGCACGACATGTGCGTGTGTTTGACAGCGACCTAGCTGAACCTTATCTACTGAGTAACCGAAAGCAACACACGTGGGAATGTTTTTCTGTCACACATCCATGCACAGTGTATAATTTGTCGACAGCGTTTTATTAATTACTATAAAATTTTCCATTCATGTGATTAGCGTTTGATTTATCCTTGTGTGATGTTTTTGTGATAAATTGTTCATTCTAGTTGATGCATAACCTAAAAGATGGTTCGCTTTAAGAACAGGTAATGAAACAGCTTACTAAATAATTAATATTTTTTTTTTATTATTCACTGTAAATAAAATGTTTCACAGTGTTTATGAATATCTTTCATTTGTTACAATAACGTAAAGTGTATTCGCAGATATATAACATTCGAAATAACACTCGGTGATAAGTCTGATAAACCATTTCCGTTGAAAACCACATCTTTGCATGTTGCTATACAACAAAAAGTACAACAATTGTACGGTGATTTTGGTGTCGCCGCGATGAAAGCTGGTTTTAGTGGTAACATAATATTTATAACATATTTTATTTACGATTACATTACATTATGGTTTTCTATTTTTTTTCTTTTTAGCAAAATATTGTAATATTCATACGAAAATAGCACTAGTGAAAACGAGACATGGACCTCATAAATTTTTATTAGAATCAATTCCACTGATAAATGACATTGCTGGACGTTTAGTGTCAGTAAAAATACTCTATGTGGGAGCAACACTAAAGCACTGTTTCCTCTTCATCAAGGTACATCAATTTCTTAAATATACACAAGCTAAATTCCGAGTTCTTACAGTACTTACATGCAATTCAATTTAATAGAAATATCAGCAAAAGAAATTAGAACAAATGTGGTATAGCCTGAGAACTGACATTGAAAGAAAAAATATGCAAAATGCTTTGATGACCTTGGCTCCAGCTATGAAAGATTGTACTTGAATTTTTATTTACACTCAAAATCCTATATTTGTATATATGTATGTGCAAATCTAATAAAACAACTGTCTAACGATATTTAATGTATTTAAATATCAAAGTTTGCCCTGTTGAGTGTCAAAGTACATTGAAATTGACTAAGCACAGTATAAAGGATGTTTGGAAATCTACCCATTAATAATATTATTATCATGGTTATGTCTGTATTGCACATTATTGAATTAGTTTATCAATTCTGTAAACAGAAAAAATGTTCACGAATCTAAAGGCATGGCTGTGTTAACGAATCGCTGCTTTTGGATAAGGCGCGAACAATTCGAATTTTCAACCACCACCGGTTCGTCGTGTACTTCTAGTTTACCGTTCGATGGAGGGTGCGCGTAGGGGTCGTTGCTGGCCGTCGCCAGTTGTCGCTGGTTGTTGCTGGAAAGAGCCATTGCTCCGGTTCTCGAGGTGGGCAACGATGGTTTGTAGTACGGATATAGTTGCCAGTCGATCCGCGAAGGTGCTCTTGAAGTGGTGCGGTGATTGTGTATAAGCGAGTATAATCTAGCAGAGATTTGTGAGTCCGTCGAACGAGAATCCGCACGGTAAAACACGCGAATTTATCAAACCCGAAAGCAGTAGCCAACCACAAGAGTTTCATTGTCTCGACAATTATTCAGTTCACTCGAGCTAGCTTTTTTTCTTTGTGTGAAATTCGCGAGAGAAAAGTCCACCGGCACACCTTAAAGAAACCGGCCCATTTTCGTTCCGCGTACAAATGTGCCTCGCCTGGAATCCGACAGACGGACAGCCAGGAAATTAGAACATTATTCAGTTATTGCAACGAGAATCCAACTTTCGTTTGAGGTAAGAGACACAGAATGTCCTAGCTCGTATAGGTTATCGATTTCGTTGCGCGCCGTTTCGAGGGATGTACACGGGATTCGTTGATACGTTCGATTGTCACGGTCTTTCCATTTTTTTTTCGCAACAGCTTGAACAGTTTATCGGATATCTTCGTTAGAGGATGTTCCTAGTGTTCATGTAGCTCTGAATGGAACGATCGATTTGTAAAATCAGTGGCGACGCTCCCTTCGCTGACAGATATTATCTCTAGCAATAAGAACAAGTGGGAGGGTATCGAGCCTCCGGTAATTAGTTTCCTTACGACTGTCACTTGTGTTTAATCGGGTATGTTTTGTGCACTGATACGAACACGATAAAGTGGTATCTTAACAGTGATCGGTCATACTTGAAACGGAAATTTTATCATCGTAACGACAATCATATTCATATTCAACAATATCCCAAAGAATACGATCAAAACGAACAAACAGTTTTGAGTGGAATATTGTTAGGTAACAGAGATTGTCGGTAGGAACGATGTTCAAAAGTCCGCGATCCTAATCATATGTGTACAGATTCGAAAAAGAAAACGAATTCGTGTATGTATTCGTCGAATTATAGACCAGGTTTTTTGTATGTATACATATTGACAGGTTCCGTTAATAAACTTCAATGTATGTAGACATGAAAAAGCATCATGCAACGGTAGTTTTCTGTAATACGTTTTAGAAACTGTCTATCATTACGCAGTTGTCAAACGTTTATTTTCACTGTAGGATAATACATTAATATCAAGTACTTCTTATAGATTGAAAATTTTCCAGCGACAAGTAAGGTATCCAAAAACTGTCGTGAAAAAGTGTACACCATAACATTGTTTATTATATTCTTATCATCTAATTGGGAACGGATGTACATTGTACTGAACAATACGATAAACGGTTTCAAAACACAGAATGACGGTTAGTAAGGCGTCTTAAATTCTCATCGTCCATCTCTGTGTTCGATAGTGCGGTCGAGAAATTCGAAATGGAATCGCAACCGCCCAGAAATAGCGAAGTTCAGACTGTACGGTGTTCCCACGTAATTTTATTTGGAAATCGTTCTCGAGCTTCTGGCGCAGGCCACTCGGAAGCTGCATATACCGAGCAGACGTTATTCCCGCTCGTTGTGCGTGCGTATGTAGTCGGGACCAATTTTTTTTTTTGTGTGTCTCTTGGGCCCAACCCTCCTCCACTGGATTACAATACACTCAGTCAGAAATAATATTGCGGTCATGCTTTCCGCCAGGGAATTGGCGAAATTGTTTTCGTCGACGGCTTTAATGGTCGGGTCGAGGAGGGTTTCTTTTGTGTTTCTCTCGGGTAGGTACCGCGAAGGGGTCTTTCACCCGATTAACTCGATGTTCGGAGAGCTATCGATTTGTCAATTAACCCGCGGTCTACGCCTACATTTGACCAGCGACTGTAACTGCTTCCTGTCATCTCGAATTCATCCGCTTTTAAATCGTTGCACTTGCATACGTGTCCCTGATGTTCGCGTCTGTAACAGTGTCTCGACCGTGATGTTTATATACAGGGTGTTTCATTTGTCTTGATCGCTTATATAATTATTCCAAGTGAGTAAAAAACTCTTCATTTATATTCTTTCTTTTAAATATCAGTTAAGGTTTGGGTGAGTCGTTCAGTACCTTCCACCAAGGATGGAGAAAATGTAGGATCTATTCTAATAACGAGACATATACAATAGACTGATCATAATCGTAAATTGTCTTATACAAAAGAATCAATTTGAGGAAGACGAATGAGACCTAGTTACCACTCGATCTAATAAAATGTTAAAAGTATTTTAATTGGTTACCAGATGGACGCAGAATATACTAGGTTTATTGTGTCACTCAGTTAAGAGGCGTGTTTAAGTGTCTCCAGAGTACTCACCCTTTGTTAATTAATTAAAATGTGGACTCTTGTCTTTCCATTATTGATTTAAATGATACTACCCGTATAACAGTTATTTAAAAATATTTTTGAACCTTCTGGGACTTATCGGTAAATAAATTTTCTTATGCAATATAAGATTTCGTACGGTAAGTAACTGGAGGATGGTATTTTGTCCGCGTTAGGATAGAATACACGCATCTTGCCGCGCACGAATAATTTTGTGATCTTTATGGAGGCTATTCATTAGGCTGAGTTTACATAGTAGAGACGAGCTAGTCGCGGAAGGGTAGATAAGCTCGTGTAATCGTCGGCGATAGCGTCCTCTACAAAACGACTTAATTTAAGCGGGCCCTATCGTTCGGACCAGTATAAAACCGAGTTTAATATCAACGAATTACTACTATTATTTCTTAAAACGGAAGTAAATCGTATTAAGGTTGTGAGTGAACGGCCTGTTTCATAGAATCCGAAAGGTGAGTCTAGTGTAAATAATAACGTATATCGATATTAACCCTTTAATATTCAATTCAACAAATAATTATTACGTTCAGTAGCGATACTTAATAGGTTCTCGATAATTGTCTTTGAACAGTAATTAAGAAGTCAAGGTAATATTTGAAAATTGTCTCGCGCCATTTGCGTTTCCAATAAGCTGCGAATACACGATCTCGTAGCCGTGGGATATTTAATATGCTCGACCGTTTTTTCCACAATTTATTACATAAATCCCCACCCTCGTGTTTCGCAATGTATCGCAAGTAGGGCATAAGGATGACCATTACGTAATCCATGAAAGCGAAGTTATTTGCAGATTGTATCGTTTATTTCGAAGCCGGCTTGAGGCCGTCGAATATAACGACATACCTCGCTTTCAGTGGAGCGGTTCGAAACCCCCTAATTATTTCACTTTTCAACGCGGTCGTCCGCAATAAAAAAATAAAAAGCAAGGCACAAACACCGAGAATATATACCGAGTGTTCAGAAAAAAAAATGGAAAATATCGTAATTACTTTGTTTCTCTCTGCTGGAACACACGGTTGATTGCATTTCAGTTCAAAGCAACCGTAGAGGGCGCGCAATTCGTAAAGGTTTTTTTTGATATCTATTTTTGACTCGAGAAACGCATTCGGCGTTTGTCGGCGGGAAAGAATGACTTTCGTGATAATCCATTTTGCGCGTGTAAATCAGTCGCACTGACGAGCAACTGGGGCAAACATAAGATGAACATACGTAAAAGGTGTGTGAATTGTCCAAATTGCGTTCCAGTTCTATCGACCGCCGTCGAGTTCCCATTGTATTTAGATTTCTTCGCGATCAATTGCTCGAATTACGTAAGCCAATTAAATTTTACCACTCGATCCCCCAATCTAATTCTTCATTTACAAAAGAATGTTGATCTGATATTTTCCTTCAAGAGTTTTGAAATCAGATAAGCCTTCGGAACGTAAACTCTTGGAACACCGTGTATACGTACGGAAACGATAAAGACATTAAAACGAGTCAAGTGTAACACCGTTGTAGCCTACTTAATACACTTCTGTGTATTACGCGGTTGTGTTATAAATTCTGTATATTGTCTCTATTTTTCGTTACGAATCCAAGGAATTTAGTATTATTGACGACGCGACAACGTTTCGGCTGCGCTGCGTCTCGAAAGCTTCGCGGCAGTGTAAAAGGAATCGCGGTAAAAGTGGAACTTTCTTTCTTTCCTCGTGGTCCCCGGTCCGACGTGTACATGTAAACGAGACTCGTTGAATGTTTACGCCGGACGAGAATAATTTACGGCTGCCTGACACCGAGCTTTCCTGCTTTTAGCCACCGTGAATCTTCCCGATCGTCCCGACGCGTACAGAGAAACTGTTCCCCATCAATCTCTGTTTCGAGCATACGTTTTTAGGTTAGTGTATTCCTCGCTTTTAGTTGTTCTTTTAATTATGACACGGAATTGCAAGAATGCCCTTTTTTTCTTAACACTAGGTTTACGGGACGCGTCATTTCGACGCATTTCGAATGCTTTCTAACCTCGAAATTCTCTATGTGGTATACCTATCTCTATAGCTATGCATTAATTTCAGAGATCATAAATTGTGTATTATATAAAATAAGTTGTTTTTTTTAAAGAAAATCTGCGGGTTCGTTGATTCGTGCCGTGGAGATACCTACACGATAAGTGCCCGTAGACCTAGTGTTAATAACAAAACATTCATAATTCGAAAGATTCGGTCATGTACAGATTAACTCGTGTAATTATAGACGACTCGTCCCGAAGTCAGAATTTTTCTGGGGACGCAAAGTGCA